ACAGTACTGAAAATATTTATAATATATCCCCCACAGTAGGTGCTTAATAAGTGGTAGCTACCTTCTGGTACTTGTAAAAAGGTTATTATGTGCAAAATCTCCAACATCTAAATAATTTTTTTCCAGTAAATTTCAGTAAATTTGTGGATTGGTGCCTATGGATCCACTCAATTTATTTTAATCCTGATACCAAAATAATGTAGACTGACCAATAATCCTCAGTAAAGGGATGAACTTATTTTGGAGCAATGCTAGAACATTACTACCATTGCTACTTAAAAAAATTAAATCCAAAAAATTATGGTTGCTTACTATGTGCAAAGCATTGATTTAGGCACAGGGAATATATTAGAAACCTTTGTGAAGCTTATATTGTAAGGAGGATACAATAAGCAATGATCAATAAACGAATAATTAAGAATATATGTAATAGGTCAGATGGTGAAATGTTCCGAGGAGAAAAAGCAGGGAAGGAGAGAAGTAGTACTGGTAAGGAACTAGGGGAATAGTATTTGCTCATTTTAATAGGGTGATCAAAATGTATTATTGAAAAAAAAAATGCTTCATTGACAAGGGGATATTTGAGCAGACCTGAAGGAGGTGAAGGAGCAAGTCACGAGGACACTTGAGAGAAGAGCATTCTAGGCAGGGAGAAGAACAATGCAGAGGCCTAAGATAGGAGTGTACCTGGTCTGTTTGATGAGCTGAGTTGAAGGCCAGTGTGGCTGAATTAGAGATCAAGGGGGAAGAAAAGAGATGGGGTCACAGAGGCCACAAGGGACCAGATCACGTATTCTCTTACAGGTCATTGGAAGGACTTTAACTTTTATTCTGAAAGTATTTTAAAAGACAGTATTGAAGAGATGAGTGCCATGATCTGACTTGTATATTAAAAGGTTTACACTAACTGCTGGGCAGAGAACAGACTGCTGAGAGGGAGTTTATCCCAATAGTCCAGTTAAGCAGTGATGGTGGCTTGAACCTGGGCAGTGGGAGCAAAAGTGGTAAGACCTGCCCACTGGTATTTTTTTTGAGGCTTTTCTGTTTAGAAAACATTAGCTATAATTGTGTTCATAACTTTAGAGTCCACATATAGTGGCAGACTATATTTCCTGGCTTCTTTTTCCTGTGTAGGTGATAGGCTGAATCTAACATGTTTTGAATTAGGATTAATGTGATTCAACTACATATTAATGTATCTTAACTGATTATTTTTCAAATTGGACAAGTATAATATGCCCACAGTAAGAACACAAAATGGAGATGAGGCCATTTCTTCTCTGAATTCCTCTCCTCACTATTCCCACCACCACTCCCATGACCCTACTGTAATATCAGTACCCTGCTCTCTATTCTTCCACAGCCTTCTTGCTGCTCATACACACACAGGGAAGCCTAAAGATATGCATATAGATATATGTACATATAAAGATACTTAGTTACTTAGTTGGTGGTTCTTACTGAAATGGAATTATGTTATACAATTGTTCTGCAACTCTGTAACTTTCTTTGCACTTGACAGTATATCATGAGCTCTACACGTTACTGTATGTACATCTGCTTTTGTTTTCTATGCCCACTATAACAAATTACCACTAACATAATGACAAAACAAATTTATTCTCTTACAATTCTGGAGATCGGATGTCTGAAATCAGTTTCACTGGAGTCCAGCTAAGGCTACAGTTCGGAAGGCTACTTCCTTTTCGAGGCTCTGAGCTTCTAGTGGCTGCCTTTATACCTTGGCTTGTGGTGCCTCCTCCATCCTCAAATTGTAACACTCACCTTTAACAGGAACCTGAACAACAAAACGAACAAGCAAGCAAAATATAACCAAAAACAATGAAATAGAGAACAGGCTGACAGCGACCAGAGGGGAGTGGGGAGGGAATTTCAGGGGAAAAGGGGAAGAAGGGTGTACAGGAACAAGTATAAAGGACACACGGACAAAAAAACTAGGGGGGTGGAAATGGGAGGGAGGTGGGAAGCACTGGGGGGTGGGCTGGGATGGGAGTAAAAGGCAGAAAACTGTACTTGAACAATGAAAATAAATTAATTTAAAAAATGGTAACACTCTAATCTTTGCCCCCATCATTGTGTCATCTTCCCACTCTGTTTCCTTCCCTCTTATATTATGGCCAATCACAATTCAGATAGTCTCCCTCAGCTCAAGGCGTACAATGTAATCACATCTGCAAAGCCCCTTTGGCTATATAGTCGTCCCCTTTATCCGTGGAGATATGTTTCAAGAGCCCCACTGATACCTAAAACTGTGGAGGGTACCAAACCCTATACATTCTGTGTTTTTTTTCCTCTATACATACATACTCTTTGACTTAAAGAAAGTACTTTATGGCTTCATCATTACTCTTACACTTTGGGGCTATTAAGTGAACTAAGAGTTACTTGAAAATAAGTCCTGAGATACAGCAAGAGTCCATCTGATAACTGAGAACTAAATGAGGAACAAGGAGTATATACAGCACTGATACTGTGGACACAGGGATGATTCACAATTTAAAATTTATGAATTGTTCATTTCAGGAATTTTCCATTTAAGATATTTGGACCATGGGTAACTATGGGTAACTGGAACTGTGGAAGTGAAACCATGAATAAGGGGAGACTACTGTATAAAGGAACCGTCTCAGGTTCTAGGGATCAGGAACTGCACGTTTTTGGGGTGACATTATTCAGCTTGCCACATCTAAGTCCATTTTTTAATTGCCTGTATTTATACAAAATACACACTTTTACATAAAAGGAACCTATCAGACATGCTGGAGTATTTTAATAGCGTTTTCTTCTTTTTCTTTCTGTATTTCTTTATTTTTTAAAGATTACCTACACTTCTCCTTGCTTACTAACCACATACATATTATGAAATGAAAAACAAACCTGGTTTAGGTAAGGACTTTGTTTGAAAGGATTGCAAGGTGTGTGTGTGGTGGTGGTGGGGGGGGCGTGGGTATTGCAATAGGAAGTTGGAGAATATTCCCTGCCTGTGGGAAGTGGAATGAAAAGGTTGCTAGACTGCATAGTAGATCAGGGAATGTTTTACCCTGAGGCAAACATTCATAGGGGGGCCTGTTAAGGAAGGGTTATATGCTGGCTCAGGCCATACTGGATACAAGTTCCCAGGCCTGGGGGAAGAAGAAGAATTTAACCAGTTTGGTTAAGGAGCATTTTGTTCCTATTAGTCAGGGGAGATAGATAGTTCACGTAATAATTTATGAGGCAAGAGTCCGGCCTTGTCCTAGGTGACAAAGAGAGTACCTCTGGGTTTTATGAGTCACATGGGGAATGGCATTTCTTTGCAGTATGCCACTTACAAGAGACTCGGGCATGAGAGAGAGTGAGAGTGAGCTTCAGGCTGGTTCCTTTGTCTTGAGGGGTTTTATCTGCAGGACTTAGAGGAGGATCTCAATAGAATCTGTATCATCTTTGCAGGTGTGCAGGTGTGTCCCTCATGGTTTTGGTCTCCAGTGACTGGTCTTGATGTTAGCCATGATGTTGCCCCAGCTGGTCTTGCTGTTTTCCCGGGCCTGCAGCTGAAATATGTCTAGATGTTATCTCTTAAGGCTTAATGCTTAAGGGAATAGTCATGCAAGGTCTTGTGTGGGAATCATATGAGGGTATTCTTCAATTCCTTTCGTTCCTCCTCTGAGGAGGTCTACTGCGTGGCTGGTGACATGCCAGGGAAGAAAGGTCATGGGAGGGTCTAAACCATATGACTAGCAATAAGCTAGGGGAAGAAAGGTCACCCTGGATAAGGTCCCACCTTATAATTGTCCGTTGCTAGGCTCCCGGGGCCTTCCACCTTGGTGACCTTCTGTACCTGGCCTGTTGTTCCTGCTCAGCTCCAGCCTGGCTAACTGCCTACTACAGCAGTTTTCTTAACCATCACTATTTTCCAGGTCTACAGTGCTCAGGTAAAAATTCAGCATCAACAGTGTACAAGGTTTAATGGTTTGGAGGCTTTATAAAAATGAGATCATTTAAAATGTACTTACTTTTCTGCATCTTACCTTTTTACTCAAAAATAACTAAAGAAAATTCCTTTCAAGGGCCGGTATAGCTCTTTTGCATTTTTTCCATGTTGTCATAGTGTTTCACAATGAGGTTGTGCCATACATACTATTCAGTTAGCCCTCTATGGATGACCATGTTCTTAATTTTCTGGGTTTTTTTTTCCCCCATATCACTTCAACAATTACAAAAAAATCACTTCACTTAGAATTTAGGGTTCCTGTAGTTGCTGCACTTGGGGTTTCGAAAGCTGCATTTCATTTTTTTCAAAATTTATTTTCTTTCTTAGAATCTCCTCACTGAACTGTCAACCCCTTTGAAGTTACTTTTGTTATGCTTCTTCCTCATCTCCACGTCCTGTCCTTTTGCCCAATGAGGTAGTAGGAGTAAAAATGACCCCAGTACCTTTTCTTTTGTCTTCCTGATCTCTTTTCCGGAAGCAGGAGTCTCCCAGGCCCACAGAAGCCCTGCCAGCGAGAGGAACTTTTGGACCCCTCCGGCTGGTCCCTCCTGGTCCACAAAAGCCCGGGGAGGAAGGCGTGGCCCGGGCCGGGGGGGGGGGGGGGAGCGCCCAGGAGGGTGTCTCCCAGATACACTGAAAAGCAAACTGAACACATGGTGAGGAAGCAGACACACCACAAAGACATGTTTCCAGGATCCTTTCAAGGTTTTACCCATGTTTTTCGAGGAAAAGAAACAGAACTAAAGCATCTTCAGTTCCTTTGGATGGAAAATGTTTTCCAAATTAGTCAGAGGGAGGGAGTCTGGGAGATCGAGGGAGCGGCCAGCCGGTTCTTTCCAGTTAGCAAAGTTCAGGCAGCTGCTAAATCAAGGCTTCTTAAGTTAGGACGCGCGGGCATAACCTTGTATCACCTCATTCGCTCATTTTTAATAAGGGACCATAAAAACCTGAAGTGCAGATTGGGTGTCACCCAACACGGAGGCTCGACAGCTAAGGCGGAAAAAAAGCGCCCTTTCTCCTCCAGCTCCCGCGGAGGTGCCAGGTTGCAAATGTATTCTTGTCTGGCCCCGGGGGCTTGACAGTTAATGATTTGCCGCAGAAGGAGCCCGCAGGAGAAGCCGGAGAGAGGACCCAGCAAGCGGCGCGGGAGCGCGGGCGCAGGGCCCGAGCCGAGTCCCCGGCGGCCCGCAGGCGCCGCCTCCCGTCTTCCGGGCCCCGGCACTTCGGGGGGTTCCGGGCTCCGGAGACCGCACGCGCCCCGATGGAGGTAGTTTCGCCGCCCGCGGGAAGCGGCACCCCGCCGCCGCCGCCGCCGCCGCCGCCGCAGGCACAGGGAGCGAGGGGCGCAGTCACCGGCCTGCTGCGCAGGATAAAAGGCAAAGTCTTCACCTGGTGAGTGGCAGGGGCGGCGGGAGCGCTGCGGAGCTGCGCGCGGGATCCGCTCACACGTGGCTGCGGAGCACACGGCCGGCAGCCGGGGAGAGGCGGCGGTGCGCGGACTTTGGAACTGGCTCCGGCGACTCAACATGTGCGCCAGGGATGGAGCTCTTCACCTGGCTTTGGGAAGCTCTTGCGGCTCCTCCCTCGGCCCCTTCTTACCGATCAGGGGCATGGATAGCAGAAGATTGGGGGAAATTCACCCTGTTGGCGTTGTCAGATCAGTCACCGGTGGCCTACCAGTTGGGAGGGGGCGAAGTCCCCGGGGATGCTGTGAAGGAGGGGTGTTCACCCTTGGGCTTGGCAGATGGGTGAACTACTCCTGGTGGCGCCAGCGCCCCTGGTCCTCCTGCAGCAGAGCACGTCTGACAGGGCCCGGATTCACCCCTAACAGATGAGTTCACCCAAGTGAGAAATCTGGGTTAAGTTCTGTGCTGCCGCCCGGAGGTAGTCTAGAGCCTGCCTCCTTTCCGGGCCTGGGGCCTGAGCGAGGCGACATAGCCACCTCCAGGCTGGGGTCCAGGGGAGCCTTCTTGTAGTGTCTTTGGGCTCCGTGGGAAATAGAATGCGCTTAAGGAATTGATAGCGATTCTGAGACAGACAAAGCATTTCTGGGGCTACTGGAGGACACGAGTTCTGTAAATAGAAATCACTCAGGATCTAAATAATGAAAGCCATCATTTAGTGAGCGTTCGCTGTGTCAAGTCCTGAGCTGAGTTAGCAATGAAAATGGTTAATATCAGCTCATCCTTATTACTTCATGAGACCCCACTGTTCTCACACCCACTTTGCAGATGGGAAAGTAATAAACAAGGCTAAGCTGTTTGCCTAAGGCCATGAGATGACCTGTAAGGAATGGTGTAGCGCAAGCCGTCTAAACTGCAGCTTTAACCACGCCTGCCCACTGTTACTTCTCATTGAGTGGACCAGGCATTTGAAACAGGCATTTGATTTTTTTTTCAGATTAACAAAGAGAAGTTCTCTTTAAAGATTGTGAAAAGTGTGTACTGAAAAGCCACACCATTTTCAAAACTAGATCAATAGTGGTGCATGTATTTTTGTCATATATAAGTAAGTATAGTGTTAAATAGATAGATGTATTTAAAGGGGAAAGCTGACCAAAAATCACCTGTATCATGCAACTGTGTAAGTCCTGAAAAATTTAACCAGAAGTTCTCAGCTGGGAGGCAGTGTAGTGTAAATGGCTAAGGCCACGGATTTTGGATTCCAATCCCGTCTGTGCTGCTTACTACCTGGGTGACCGTGGGCAAGTCACTTAACTTCTCTGCCCCATTTTTTCTTTTTCTTTTTTTAAAAAAAGATGTTATTTGTTTATTTTTAGAGAGGGGGATGGGAGGGACAAAGAGAATGTGAGAAACATCATCATTGTATGGTTGCCTTTCACGTGGCTCCCACTGGGGACCTGGCCTGCAACCCAGGCATGTGCCCTGACTGGGAAGTGAACTGGTGAGGCTTTGTTTCAGAGTCTGCACTCAATCCACTGAGCTATACCAACCAGGGCCACAGTTTTCTTATTTGCTTTTTTTTCCTTTCTCTCTTTTTCAATTGTTGTTCAAGTACAGTTGTCTCCAGTTCCCTCACCACCGCCACTCCCCTCTTATTTGTAAAGTGGAGATAATAACAGTACCTACTTTGGGGATGTTGTGAGGATTAAGTGGCTGACTACGCAGGAGTGGGCAGACAGCCGGCTCGTGCTACTCCACGTTTCATCATCAGCTCTCCATTCCCTGGTGATGGGAAAATGTGGTGTTGCCCCAACAGATGCCAGCAGCCCTTATGTTGGGACAGACAGTATGGCAGATGTCATTTAAGCAAGATGTAACAAGGATTAGCATTGATTTTTTTCTCTTAGTGTTCTAATATTTTATTTATTCATTTAACTTTAAAGATCTTATTTACTTATTTATTTTTAGAGAGGAAAGAAGGGAGAGAGGGAGAGAGACATCAATGCACAAGAGACACATCAATCAGTTGCCTCTCGCATGCCCCCAACAGGGGGCCTGGCCTGCAACTTGGGCATGTGCCCTGACCAGGAATTGAACCTGAGACCCTTTGGTTCACAGGCTGGTGCTCAATTCACTGAGCCACACCAGCCACAACTTAATATTCTAAAAACTTAAAAATCCTGGTATGTTTTGCGATCAGAAGTATCTAATAGCTTCCTAAATATGAGATTTCTTCTGTCTCTGAACATACTTTTACTGTATCTCCCTTGTGGATATTTACTTTCTTCCTTGTGTAATAACTGTAGGTGTCTTACATTTCTGGTAAGGAAAGTGCTTAACAGCAGAATTGTCTTTTTCACTTTTTATTTTCCACAATCCTTAGCACATGAATGAGTGAATGAATGAGGGATGACAGAAGGCCTTGAGGCTTCCTTTCCCTCCTGCCATACATCCTGCACTTTTCTCTTTATCGATGTTTATTTATTCTGAGAGTCTTGGGCTGGACCTTTTTTGTTGCTATTGTTGGCAGAGATCTTCAGGTCGTTCAGGGTGTCAGTCTTACCTCTGGCAACAGTTCAGATGATAGAGAAATTCAAGAGTTAAAGACTTTAGCTTCAATCATAGTCGACAGGTTTAAGAGATTAATGCACATGGAAAGCTGTTATTCCAGCAACTGGAATCCATGACCACATGACTCCAGGGGGTCTGGGTATCTGAGCCATTGTGTTCCAGGGAGGGAATGTCTGTGACACAGGTTAAGAGTTGTTGGTGAACAGATAAAGAAGTACTAGGAAAATTGATGTAGCTCTTATCCAATTAATCTTTTTTTCCAAACTGCTTATCTACCCTTTCTTCATTTTATAAAAAGATCAGCTCCAGATGAGATTTTAAGATGCTTTTTGAGGGTACATAACCCACTGTCTCCTCATATTGCTAGTATCTGAATAAAGCGTTCATAAAGATTCTATCCTTGTCTCTACTTATTGGTTCTGGTAGTGACAGGTAGCACGGACACTGACTTTTCTGGTTTCACAGACATTTGGATTCTGGTTCATATTTTCTTCTGTTTTACCCATCAATCAGAAAAGTGCATTTTACCAGATATCCAGTACTCCTTTTTTTTTTATTATGTTAGCCATGTTCACCTATAATTTTTTAAATATGTTTCATTAAATATGCCATTACAGTTGTCCCATTTCCCCCCCTTCATTCCCCTCCACCCTGCACACCCACTCCCCCCATTCCCCCCCTGTAGTTCATGTCCATGTGTCACAAGTTCTTTAGATTCTGTATTTCCCATACTATTCTTGTCCTCTCCCCTGTCTATTTTCTACCTACCGTTTATACTACTTAGTCTCTAGCCCTTCTCCCCCCCACCCCCCGCCCTGTTACTAACCCTCCATGTGATCTCCATTTCTATGGTTCTGCTCCTGATCTAGTTGTCTGCTTAGTTTGCTTTTGTTTTAGGTGTGGTTGTTAATAACTGAGTTTGTTGTCCTTTCACTGTTCATATTTTTTATCTTCTTTTTCTTAGATAAGTCCTTTAACATTTCATATAATAAGGGCTTGGTGATGATGAACTCTTTGAACTTGACCTTATCTGAGAAGCACTTTATCTGTCCTTCCATTCTAAATGAAAGCCTTGCTAGATAGAGCAATCTTGGTTGTAGGTCTTTAGATTTCATGACTTGGAATACCTCTTTCCAGCCCCTTCTTGCCTGTAAGGTCTCTTTTGAGAAATCTGCTGACAGTCTGATGGGAATTCCTTTGTAGGTGACTGTCCCCTTATCTCTTACTGCTTCTAGGATTCTCTCCTTCATTTTAATCTTGGCTAATGTAATTATGATGTGCCTTGGTGTGTTCCTTCTTGGGTCCAACTTCTTTGGGACTCTCTGAGCTTCCTGGATTTCCTGGAAGTCTATTTCTTTTGCCAGATTGCGAAAGTTTTCCTTTACTATTTGTTCAGATAAGTTTTCCACTTGTTGCTTTCCCCTTCCCCTTCTGGTACCCCTATAATTCGGATGTTGGAATGTTTAAAGGTGTCTTGGAGGTTCCTAAGCCTCTCCTCATTTTTTTTGAATTCTTGTTTCTTTATTGTTTTCTGTTGGTTGTTTTTTTCTTCCTTCTGGTCCACTCAATTGATTTGAGTCCCAGTTTCCTTCCCATCACTATTGGATCCCTGTACATTTGCTTTATTTCACTTAGTTTAGCATTCATTTTTTCATCTAATTTGTGACTAAAATCAACCAGTTCTGTGAGCATCCTGATCACCAGTGTTTTGAACTGTGCATCCAATAGGTTGGCTATCTCTTGGACACTTAGAAGTATTGGCTCTGCGGCTTTGATTTGTTCTTCTGATTGAGCCATTTCTGGTCAGGTTGCACCTATTATATATGAGGGGTGGAGCCTTAGGTGTTCACCAGGGAGGGGCCACCCACGTTTCTGGGTTGTGACACTGTATGTGGGGGTGGGGTTGAGAGGGGCAATGGTGTTTTTTTCTGCTCTCTCTTGGATTTCGGTCCCCTCTGCTGCTTCCCACAAGCAAATTGGGCCCTTCTGGTCCTAGTTCCCAGATGTGTGGGCTTGTGCACCCTCCAGGACCCTGTGGGTCTCTCCAGTTAACTCTCTGTGGGCCCGGGAATCTCTCCCGGTACCTTGACTCCTGAAAGTTTTTCCAATTGGTGCTTTTAGGCTTTATTTCCTGGCACCGGGGCCCTGGGTTGCGCAGTCTGTCTCACTGCTCGCTCCTTTGCCTTGTTTATCTGATTGTGAATGTGTGACTGCAGTCAGCCAGTCGCCTTGCACCCCCACTGGGTCTGCCCCTTGCCAGCCCACGCCTGGGATCTGCCAACCGCGCCAGAGTGCCTGGGTTGGTCTGGCCAGTTTTTCCTGCGGGGACCCAGCTCTGCCAGCCACTGACTCTGCCCCTCTTACTGGTCTGGCTGAATGGTTCATTGTTGTTGGACTTCCATACAGTTCAATTTTCTG